TCAAAATAATTATTGCTTATACTTTATCGTTTTTTATATTAGCTATTATTACGTTCTATATAGTATATTTCACGTAGATATTAAATATTACTTGCAATAATATAGAAAAAAAAAGAAAAAAATATTGGGAGATTTTTATGAATTAAATGCAAATTTATAATTTTATCACATGTTAATTGTTATTTTTTGTTAAATTTATTATAGTTTTAATGTAATTAAACTTGTTTACATGCTTCTTATACAAAAATTTATTATACAATTGCTTTGATAATTAGTCATGTGAATGTGTGATTATGCTCACACTATTCCTATTCTATGTGGCATTGTAAGAAAATTAAATAAACTAAAATACAAATCATATTTTTATTTAATTATATTACTTATTAAGTTTCCTTAATTTTCTTCTTAAATATCTAACTAAAGGTATAACAAATTAAGACTGTTTTACTCTACAATCTACACATATTTTTATTATTGTTAAAAGTAAATAACTATACATAATAGCAGGTAAATGCAAGCTTTTTTATCATATTATTATATTATTACAAAACACAATTTTCATGGTAGCAAAATGTTATCCTTTTTAGCTATAATCAATTAATAAATTATGAATTACAATAGTCCAATATAAATTTGATTACATTTGCTATAATTAGTTAATTTTAATGTATTTTAAATATTTATTTTAAATATCATCGAACAATCCTTTAGGTGCAGGTCCTACACGGTTTGTATTTGTTGAAAATGATCTTGTATTATCTGAATGTACATCATACAAATTATCAGTTTGATAATTACGTTCAAAGTGACTATTTGCACCATATGAATTTATTTCAGAAGTTGTACCAACATAGTAATCTGTTGAATCGAAATCGCGTAATAAACCAGCCCCTGCTGATTCCACAGATTCGTCTCTTTTTAAAGAACGTACTAAAATAAATGTAAATAGAAAAAATAAATCATATGAAGAATTTTTCTATATTGACATTTAACATTTATATTATACAATAGTTATAATTACCTGTGTCCATATTCTGTCTAGATGATCTATAACGAGAAGAATTTCCAGTAATACTGAAACGTTCTTGGAATTCACGTCTTCTATACATAGAATCTTCCGCTCTTTGTCGCTTACGTCTTTCTGCATGAAAATAAAATATCTCTATTAAATTATTAAACTATTACTTAATTTATATCTAAGAATAAGAATAAAAATAAGAATAAAAACTGAAACAAAAATTTACCTCGTATAATAAGTTCTCTTCCTTCTTCTACGAGATCTGTGGTAAATTCGTCATCATCAAGAAATTGTTGAAATCCTAACATTGAAAGTAATCTACTTCCTAAACTGAAATACGTTGCCAAACAAAATCCTAATATTGCCATTGGAAAATAGATATTAAATCCATCAGATATTATGGATATTACATCCATATGACCCATTATCTATAAAGATATAAGAAAATAATATAGATATTATTATGATGTATACTTATTATTACGATTAGATCTATTTACCTGAGTATAATGTGTTTCTAAAATATGCGTTTTTATAATATGAGAATCCATATGAATAAGTCCCAAAAAGTTAAGACACATAGGTGGTGTTAAGCGACATAACATCATGCCACTAAATATTAAACTATACTCATTCGTTTGATGGTGTGGTGCCAGATAATATAAATTTAAAACACGAATTTTTAAAACTGTTGAATAAGCACAATAGCAAAGATAAGCAATGATGAGTGTAGATAATACCTAACATAAGAAAATTATTTATATCATCATCCATTACAAAGAAGAATTTCATTATAAAAAATAAATAAGATTATTTACCTCTATTGTAAAGTAATCATAATTTTCTTTAGCTATATTAACAAATTGTGCAAATAATGACAGGACAGGTGATTTATTAAAAAATGTTACTTCTGACCATACAACAGCTGCAGATAAACAAGCAGCACAAATAGCAGCAACCTTCTTAACATAACTTTTAATAATACATTTCCAATACCATTCTGTAATTATATTTAAAATTTTATATCAAAATTATATATAAAATTTCATATGTAAATGTTTTCATATTGAAGTATTAAAATTTTATATATTATGGATATAAGATATTAAATGTATCAATTTACTAGATTTTATATTCCTTACCAATAACTGGATTGTAAATTATTCGAAGAGGGAATGATCGATGTACAGGAAATGTTGGTTTAAATCTTCTCTCATGACTGACTTGATTTTTTTCTACATCTTCCAAATGAAAGATTTTATCCACTGTAATGCCCCACAAAGTCTCTACACGTTGCAGTGTTTGTAAAGCTTTAATAGTCTGAAGGAAATGACCAACATCATTTATAAAAATATACGTTTTTATATGTATTAACATATGCATAAAAAAAATAATACAAAACCTCTCTGTGCAATCGAATTAAAGATTTTTCTGAGGGAGTATCAGTTGGTGTATCATCTGGTAACTGTCTTCTATTCATTCTATCTTTTAGTTCAGCAGGTATTTTTTGAAAAATTGTTTCTAGATTAGAATGATATGGGTGCCCTGGTCCAATAGATATTGTAGCAACTTGCAAGGACTAGGAAAAAAATGCTTTTGTGTGATATTATTGTAATTTCTTAAAATATTTATTATAATTCATTATAGGCAAAAAAGATACCTCAAGTATGTCATCTACTGTTTCTTCTGCCTCACATTTGTCTGAACTCAATTTAGCTATCTTAAAATAGCTATAATGTAAAGTATATCCAGGTTTACTAGTATTCCATAATCCACGTGGTACTTCTACAAGTGCATATCCCAAAAGTAGTACTAATAAAAATAAACCCCATGTATTTGATGCAGAGGAAGCAATAGCTTTTAACTTTTGGCTAAAAATATAAATTTAAGATTATAACATCAAAGGCTTTTTTAGTAAAGATTCTAGTGCGAATGCATTCTTTACCCATCAAGATATAATCCAGGCTTTAATGCAATGTATATTAATAAGATACCACAGATGAATAAGTAACTTCCATAATAAATCGCGTTATCAATAAGTGCAGATTTTAGCTTTCCTTGTACTGTAAAATCACCTGCTTTTATATAAGATTGCATTAAAGGAAGTATTAACCATGTTAAACATTGTGATGTCCAATAGACAATCTTCCATAATTTTGGGAATACATGTTCTGGTATGTTTGGTAAAGGATCTTTGCATGTATGAAATGGAGCATTTGCAGTATTATTTGCATTTTCATTACTTGAGTTATGTATGTACTGTTCCACACATTGTCTAAAAACAGTCTGGACAAGACAATTTTATTTATTATTTTTATTAGAAACTAATGCTTGATTAATACAAATTATCATATATATTATATTTCAATATAAAAATCAAATATATATATCACTTACCGAAGAAACATCTAATGGTAATATAAATACTATCAACAGTGAAAAGTACCATGCAATAAGCACTGAGATTGTAACAATAATATGCTGTCTATACACATTTCCATATTTATATAATAGAGTTGCAGCTAGATAAAAAGCTATAGCAATCTCTATCAAAAATTGGTCAAGAAACATTTTTGTATTATATTATTTATATTTATTTGTATTATACAACAGCTAATGCTGTACATGCCTGCTAAGGCATTAATATTCTATTTATCTTGATCTGGTTTGTTATTTATTTCTTGACTTTCTTTCAACTTTTGTTCTGCTTCTTTCTGCATTCTTTCTAATTTCTCCAAGGTGACAGATTTTAAAGGTATTACTTTTGGTTTACAAAGTATATAATCTGTAGTTTCCTCTTGATATAACAGCCCTTGCTTAGGAATAATTATATCAACTTGTTCAGCAATTTCATCAACAGATTCTGACATTTTTCTTTGAATTTCATGAATTTTACAAAAAGTAGTTTTCAAATGTTCCACAAATTATTTAAATAAAACGAAAACAAAATTTGTTAACATAAAATAAAATGTCACATAGCATTTACACAAGAAGTGCAAAACAATTACTTTATAATCATATTTTATAAACAGTTTAATTTTAAAAAATCTACATATTTAAAAACCATTAATTTATATAAGACATTAAAATAAAATATAAAATCATGACACGAAAAAACAATAAAAGTTCACAAACACAAATAATTCACGAATAATTCACGAACTGTATGTGAGCTCGGATTAAAATAATATCGATACAGATACTGCTCGAAGAATTTATTTTTACTTTAATATACTTTTGAAATATATCACATTTTATTATGTTAATATCAATCACAAATGCATATACTGCATAATAAAGAATATCGACGTCACAATACGTCACATATGCTCTGAATGGTTCGCAATAACTATACCTCGTGTACGAACGCATGCGCAAATACAAATATGCCTTTGGAACAAAAAGAAAGAAAAAGAGCAAAGGTCACAAATTGTCTTCGTTATAAAGTATTTTTTTTAAGAAATAATGGAGTTAAATACATTTAGTACAAAAATATATACACATTTTATATTATAAAAAGTATCAATACAACTCAGTCTTATACTCTATTGTATACATTTTTAATACACAAAAATATTTATTTGAAATGCAATCATATTTAAAAATATATGAAAAATTAGATTTTTTCATATTTTCAGTTTTCTTTTTCTCTCTCTCTCTCTCTCTCTCTCTCTCTCTCTCTCTCTCTCTGTCGTTTTTTTTTCTTTTTTTTTTTTAATAATATACTCATTCCACAACGACAGCAATTAGTATATTCGTAATGGAATGTACATTTCAAATTATCAAAATTATTACTTTATAAAAAAACACTTATAGATATATTTTATACAATCATTACTCATTAACCGTCAATTATTAAAGAAGTTAATAATAAAAATATATATACGTCATACTTATTTAAATATTTACAATATTCATATTGCATTAATAAAAAAATAATAGAGATTTAAATACAAAAACAAACCATATTAGTATTATAAAATGCATATATAAAAGTCAAAATATTAATAATGATAATTAGTAGAAATTAAATATTCTTATTATTCATTCTACAAGAATTTAACAAATCCTCGTTCATAAAGAAGATAAATTTAACCAGCCTTTTCATGGTTATATTTTGACGGTGTAGAACAAGCAAAGTGTTTAAAATTTTCTTTCCAATCAGAAAGTGGAATTTCATCGTCAGATATTAAAAACTGTTCATTGTAATAAAATTTCTGCTTAACTGAACTACTTTCCATTAGATTTGTTGTACTATTCATGGAATAAGTTTGATATCCAGTGTCTTGAACTATATTAGAAGCACTTTGTCTTTCAGACATTCCCAAAAATATATTAGTTTTGTGCGAAGTGCAATTCTCCAATTTATAAGTTTGACTTAAATCAGACAAATGTTTCATCTCATTAATATTATTATGATATTTATCTTTATCTTTAATCATTTCATTTTTTGCATTGTCTTTGATTAAAGATGTAGAATTTTCCATTACTGAATTCATTTCTACAGATATGTCTGTTCTCATGTTCTCATGATCATTATTTGATGGATTTAAATTTTCTTTGTTTATATTTGAGTTATGCGAAAATAAAACTATATCTAAAAACAATTTATAAATCATTGATTGTATATGGTAATTATGTTTTTAATATATAATCTCTTGTAATATTTTTTATAAGAAATTTACCTGGTACTTCATTATTTTCAGAAACTTTAATATTTTCTGTAGACATCTCTATGCTTTGACTAAAATCTAATTTTACTGCTGAACGGGAGCGAGTTTTCATATTTTCTACTGATGTATTCCTTATATCAGGTATAGAAGATATATTAGGTGATAGATTTTCAGAATTTTGTATAGGTGTTCCATGACGCTGCATCTTACGTGAAAGTTTCTATGAATAAAAAATTTGGCTTTATATATTATATTTTGTAATGATTTTTTTCTGTATAGAGAAATTATAAGAAAAGTACAATGTTTAATAATTGTAAGAAATATACTGAAAATATTAGAAATTTAAATTACCCTTAATGGTGTGCCACATATAAACATTCCGCTTTCTGGAGGACTCTTACAGAATGTTAAAGAAGTGTTCATTTTGATTGGTGAAACTAGCAAAGAACTTTGCTCTTCATCTTCAAGACACTCAGTGTGATTGAAGAATAATTTTCTCCTTAATGAACTTGTACTTAAATTTGCATCATCACTATCTACATTTTGTTCCTAATTTTGCATACAAAATATTCATGTAAATTATAGAACAAATGTTTTAACGTAGAAACAAAATAAAATATATCAAAATATCTATTTCACTCTTAAATATCAACATACCTCGTTAAACGTAAAATAAGGTTTTAAAGCTTCTTCAACATTTTGAGGCAATTTTGGAGGAAGAGATAAAATTGTTTGGCATGTACCTAAAAATAATCAAATAATTATGTTGAAATGAATATTATTTATTTATATTTAATACCATCTTTTTTGGTTGTTTTAAAAGAATCTTTAATTATATTTGATTTATCAGTAAGCCGTTTAGGAGTATCCATTTTAATGTCTACTTTATATTCTTTTCTCTTAGATTCCCATGGGCTTGGTATTATCTCATTTGTCATAAAAAATTTATCAATTGCCGCCTGAGCCTTTAGTTCAATGTCTGGATCTACATTGTGTATTTGTTCTATAGGAAATTCTTCTATTTCTGCTGGTTTTATTAGAGCTAATTCCTCTACGCTCCATGCAAATTCAGGTGATTGTTGGGAATTAGAAATCTTTATAATAAGAAATAATATAATTTATATTATTATAGATAGCCTACCACTAACATGATTAATCTTCTTATATAATAAACATATTTTATCACCTTATTAAAAACAGTTGGACTGATAACAGACATGTGCAATCTATTTGTCAAATCATTTTCAAATGGATTCCTTGCAATGAACTTCGTTAATCCTGATGGTGGTGTTATATGATTTGGTAAATTTGTAAAACGACCTGCATTCTTTTGATACATTGTTTGTTTATATTTATTTTCATTTTGTTTGATTGGAGATTCGTATATTCTCTTACTATTTATTAAAGTACCATCATATTTAATTTTGTTTGGTGTTGATAGCTTTGACTGACTCATTTCACTAAAATTGTTTTTAACTGTGCAAACGTCTACGTAATTTTTCGTAATAAAGAAAAAGAAAGACATAAAACATTAAATTTAACTCATAAAAAAAATTGAAGTCTGTATCAACGAAGGATTTAATTCAACTAATGCACACAATTACTACTAATTGTTACTAGTTGAACGTCAAATAAACTTTATATTTATAATAACAAATTCATAATCTTTATATGATGTTAATCAAATAAAAAAAGTGAATTATACTATGAAACATTATAGAAGACAGTTTTTAAGGAACAATAAGAATCAGTGAACGAAATAAGTTATATGAGATAATGGCACATATAAATAAAACGAATTCTAATATGCATTTGTCAATTTAAGTTAACGATTATTACGTTTTAATTATGTTTGATAATTATTAAGCTTAATCAAATATTTTTTTTATATATTATCCAAGTATTTAACAACAATATATGAATTATTTGAAAACCACCACGAATCTGTTTTCTCGTTTGAAATTCACCAATAAACTGCAGCATAGTAAATAAAGGTATTCATGGATTAGTGCATTTTGAAGTAACTAGGGTTAAATGTAACTGACTTTAAAATGTTGTCTAATCAAAGAATTTTATTTTAATATATATGGTATTTTTAATAAATTAGCATCTTCATTCTTTGATCAAATATGATAATCTTAAGTAATAAAAATTCTATTTTCGAACGCGCATTTTTTTAATGACATAATTTAAAAACGTTATAACTTTACTGCAGTATTATTCTTTTATCACTAGAATTAATTTATTGTTTATCGGTATTATAACATATTATTTTTAATGTTTCATTAATTTTTAAATGTTGTATTAATAAATTAATTATTCTTTTTATTCTATATTGAGTAATTATGAATTTGTCGATTAATATTTTAAAAGAAGAGAAATATACACACACACACACACATACATATATAGGGAAGATTTTTATTCGTACTATCTGTTTAGAAACTTGCATCTTAGTACGTATCATACGGATAAATATAATGACCGATTCTGCGCCAACCGCATGGTATATAGCGTAATTTGTGCATTGCATATTTTTAAATATAATGCATTAAATAAATAACTATTTTGATTGCGATGTAAAATTATCCTTCACAAAATACATTAGCTGGCAAATGTGAGTACCATACTTTTGTATTTCTTTATACAGTGTTAATAGCTACCGTTTTAGGTTACCAAAGTTGTTTAAGATATTATCTTTATTGCGAATATTTCTCGTATCATGCATCAATTTTTTTAAATCCTATATACATCTGTTTCTATTTATTATTTGTTTAAGTAAAAATTATTTATATTAAGTTTTATTAATATAGAAGTGAGATAGAATATATAAGATTATTGTTGCAATATACCTTATTTTATAAAACAGCAGTTTTATTATGCACATATTTGCTTATGTACATTTAAAAATATATATTTGTATTTAATTGCATGAAAATACTATTAAATATGCTTTCTTTAATTCGATAGATCTTAAAAACTAAAGAATATGTTTTGTATGTTTTTATATACATAGAATCTAAAATGGCAGAACAGCAACAACCAACTCCTGATTTTAAACGCATGTCTTTGGATAAGATAATAGAGGCAATGACTGCTGATTTAGAAAGTTCTAATGGCCATTATGTTCAGTTTGGAATATCACCACAACAAACTCCACCGCATAATTGGAGTGACTATCCTTCTGGTCAAACAAGACACTATATTGCTAGTCAATCTCCACATCCTAATCCACAAAGCGTGCAATCTATGAGTCCAATTGCAACTTCTTTATATATGCAAGATATGCCAAGTTATGATAATACTAATACTGATCCTATTTATTTTCCACCTCAAACTGTAAATCATTTAGGTATTAACGAAAATAACGATTTAGTGGGAACTTTTGATGTTGGTGGAGGAAATTATATCAATGTTATTTATGGAAATGCATCACAAATAATGGCAGAACAATGTCAGCTTTCAAATATGACACCTTATAAAAATCAAGGTGTAATGGACAGAGAATACGGACTTTTCAATGATCAACGCATGAATATACCATCTGATATGCCTAATCAAAATTTTAATGGAAAACAATTAATTGATAATCTTGTATGTAATTGGGTACCAAATCAATCAGGAACATATAGTCCTTTTGGTGGTTCTCCAAATGTAACACCAGTACCACAATCTAATGTAGATGTCAGAGATTCTGAAGATCTACCTAGAAATATATCAGAGAGTCACTATAAAAGACCACGAATGGTAGCAGAAGTAAAACCTATGCGTCCTTCTTATTCAGATGTATTAACAAAATCAGCACCGACTCCACCTTCTCCATTAATTCTACCATCTATGAAACCGAAGGTTGAATCTGTGACCAAAAAAGTCACTAATAAAAGTTCCAAGAATAAAATTAAACCTACATCATTAAAGAGACAGAATTCATCAGGGAGTGATGATCACAATTCCCCAAAATTTCAAGTTCCCAAAAAAGTATTGGAAAAAAATAATTCTAATCTTCCAAGACGATGGGTTTCTTTAGATAATCTTGGTTCACAAACTGAAACTCATGAAATAAATACTTTTGATAGATCAGACCAATTTGAAAAGAAAAAAGTTTTGAAAACTTCTAAAAAAAATGACAAAAATGAGACACTTAACAATTCAAAAATTCAAAATAATAACTCTAAGACAACTGGCAATGTTCCAAAACGTCCAATACAAATAAATAACAATTTAAATACAATCAATAATTCAAGTCAAACAATCTCACCTGAGAAAATTGAAAAAAATCAGCAACAAAATAATAAAATTAATAAAGATGATAAAAAAGTGACTAAGGAAAGAAATTCTAAGCGCTTCCAAGCTGAAAAAGCACAGCAGATTAAGAAAGGTCAAAGAAATCGTAGAAAAGAATATAGAGAATCTCCTATTAAGGATCTATGTAAAAATTTAAATAAATATGCAAGCCGATGGAGTAAAATTATATTAAAGATTTTCTATTGGTTATTACATTTAATATCAGATGTAGTTAGTATGAGTGCCAATCTTGTTATTCAACTGTAAGTATTAAGAAAAGAAATAATTTTATTTATACATATACATATACATAAGTCACACATACACATATATGTGTTTCTGTATCTTACATATTTTTCAGTGGAAAATGTGCTTGGTATCACTCTATACTTTATTTAAAATACTCATGGGTTTATGTAGTAACAATGTTTTCAAAAATACGTATTCTTAATGCTTTTGGCAAGCAATTAGATCATTGGTTTGGAAGTAGTAAATTTGCTTTTTGGCGTAAAATGAAGACCGAAAATGAAGAAAAAGAAGAAAATTCTAATTGGATACATGGTGGACTTGAAGCTAATATTGCATTACCTAGTACTGGAGAGGAAGCTATGAAGAGATTATTAGCTTGTAAAGGCAAAGATCCATATAGCATACTTGGTGTTACACCAACATGTTCTGATGATGATATTAAAAAATATTATAAGCGTCAAGCCTTTTTAGTGCATCCAGATAAAAATAATCAACCTGGAGCAGAAGAAGCATTCAAAATATTAGTTCATGCTTTTGATATAATTGGAGAGCCAGTAATATTTTTGTTATTTGCAAACTAATAAGTTTGCACTATTTATAAATTATCTAAAAACAATATTTTTTCAGGAACGAAGACAAGCATTTGATCAAACAAGACAGGTTGAAGCTGCTTGGGGTGAATTAAGTGATTTGTTATCCCAATTACATAGAAAAATGGAACAAGCAGCAAATACAATAAGGTGTACAAACTGTGGTTTGAGGCATAAACGAGTTCCGACTCAACGTCCTTGTTATGCTGCCCGGTTTTGTGCACAGTGTAAGATACGACACAGCGCAAAAGAAGTTCGTATTTAAATTACAATTATTTAATTTTGTCTTTTGCACTTATAATCTAATTATCTAAATTTAATTAGGGTGATATATGGGCAGAATCTCGATTAATGGGATTTCTTTGGCATTATTATGCTTGTATGGAAGGTGCAGTGTATGATGTCACTGATTGGGCTGCTTGTCAAGCTGGTAATTTAAAACACCTTAGAGCAAACACACATAGCGTTCAATATAGAATTGTACTAGGTCAACGTCCACCGCCACAAACTTCTAACAGTGGTAAAAAACGACAACAAATGGATCCAAATACAAGGTAAGAATACATATAATCAACACTTTAAAGAATAATAAATTAAAAATATATTTTATTTATATTCCTATATATAAATAAATAAGCACAATAAATTTTTTAAATTAAATTAAATTAAAAGCTTTTTATTTTTTCTGATATAGTGAAGCAGATTTCGAAGAATTTTTAAATAATCTGTACAATCACAGCAAGCCTGGTAATCCTAATACATCAGCAGAGCAAAGTTCCTTTAGAGGAGATTGCAGAAGACGAAAAACCAAACGCAAGAAGTAAGCTAATGTACGCGAAGCTTTGAGATCTTATGATATTTCCTATATATGATTACTGAGTAACACATACTGGTTTGAACTTTTTCTTTTGAGTGATTGTCATAACGACAAGTACAGATCTTGAGACTGTAGTGTGTCTTCAGTGACTGATACTCTCAATCTAATATTCTAAAAGTATATGACTCAATTAGAGTACATAACAAATCGTGCAAAAAAAATTATGATTTGCATTAGAAAAATACTCTTGAGAATAATAAATTTTTTAAACGTTTAGATGCATTAAGTGCAAAAAAATGTCAAACAAAACATGTGAAAAACATGATAACAGAAACAAATGTGCATCTTGATTTTGTTGTACATATTTAAAATAGCTTGTACTTTTCTAATGAAAAAGATATAGCTTTTCTTTTTTTTTTTTTTTTTTCTTTTTTTTTTTTTTTTTTTTTTTTTTTTTTTCATAAACCTCTGATCAAGACTTACAACATAATAATATGACATACTATGCTTTCAGTACAATTATTAAGATAAATAATTTTATGTTTAAAGGTATAAAACTATTAACAATAAAAGTTTTATAATCTACATTACATATTTTTCCGTTTAAAACAAACCAATATTGAAATTAATTGCTAATATACATCCAATTTTTAATCATTTATAGTTGAGGAAAGATTGCATTAATAGTTAATTTATTGTATACATAACATTGAAAAGTTACTAATGCTAGATTTCTTTCATCACATACAGGTACGTAATTAGTAGATTTTAAGAACTATTTGATTTAAATATGACAACATTTTACAATGAAAAATAATCTAAAATCTCCAATGAATTTTATTTTATTTTAATTAATGTATTATACAATATTAATTTGTATATTATTCTATACATAGACATATTTACTAAGTACATGTTAAATGAACGTGATGTGGAATTAAAACATTCTTAAAAAGATGATTACTTTATTTAAAGATACTCAGAATGATTTCAATTAATATTAACATTGATTAATACCCCACTCTTTAATATAATATATTTAAAACATTTGATTCTCTTTTTCTGTATGCAAATGTTTTTAAAAAATATTAATTCATTACATCGTTTCTTTTGTTGTATGATGATTTTATACTATTTTGGTAACCATCATAAACCATGATCTCTATTATTTATAATTATTAGATTAATTATCGAAATTTTGCAAATGTAAGACTGATTTTCTTCTTCTTTATTAAGCATATGTTGTATTAGCATTTAGAAAATTTGACAGCAAATCTTCTGCAAAAATTGAATGAATCTTAAAGGTAAAGTCAACAATTCTGCAAATGTTACATATATATAGAATTAATTAGAGAAGTCTAACATGTACAAATTTTTTCAGCATTGTACAAAGTGCATTATAAGTTAAGGTGCTGAAAATAATATAAAAAGCAGAAATATTTGATAATTATAATTTACAGAATATAATTGCAGAAACAGGAAATAACAATGGCTAAAAGTATTATTTAAATGGTGGTATTATAAACTTTTTAGACACGTACATATGTGTATGTATACAGGTCAATAATAGATCATTGCATTATAATTAATTTGAATTGTGAGAGTGCCAAAGTATGCTAGAATTTCATATTCATGTTCATTTAAGAATTTTTTTTATATATTTAATTAAATTAAAGCTTCCTTATTTGTACTGCCATAAATTATAAAGTGCTTTGTATATGCAAGTATATCAGCTATTAACATGTATACCATATGAATTTACAATAAAGCTATAAATTAGATGTACAAGCTATACTATATATTGTAACATATACTTTTTCTTTAGTAATATAGATTTTATCTATACCTTATCTTTCTATAAACATAATGATCTCTATAAACATAAAAATATTAACAAAAGATAATTTTTGAAATCATATTTAAAAGCTTTCTATTATTTTTTAATTAATACAAGTTATTTATTAGTGTTTTTGTGAAAATGCAAACAATAAAATATAAGAAATATAGAATATTTGTATGGATTTATTTTAATTATAAAAACAATTAAAGTTAGAAAATATAAAAATATTTATTAAACAATTTTTTATGTTATATTACATAATTCTTACTAATTAGAATATAAATTAAAAAAATTTCTAATTTACTCAAGCATTTCTTCTAAAAACACAAGTGCATCTACATTATTAATTGCATTTTCAATATCTCGTTTTTGAACTGTTTTTTTTTTTGTTTGTACAGTATACTTATAGGCTTCCTTTGCCAATGAATCAATAAAAAGTTCCTGAAAGAAGATGAATTGATGGATACAAAAATAATTCTAGAATATTCAAATAAAAGTGACTTATATGTGTGTGTGTGTATATATATATATATATTTATGAACTTAGTTATTTACTCTTACAACTGTTAAACACTAACTAAACTCAAATCTTATAATACAATTCTAATCTAATCTAATCTAATATGTTTCTTATTTCATTACATAAATACGTATTTATAATAGAATCATACCAAGTTACAATATACAATGTTTAATTAATAGTATAACAATAAGTTATAATATTATAAAAATCAGTTCAGTAAAATGTATTGGAAAAAAATATTGAAATAGTTATTACCGTCGATTTTGCTATTAAAAATACTGCCTCCTGATTAACCAAATTTACATCAGGATCCATTTTAATAATATTTCTTACTCTGCCTATAGGAAGTCTTACTAATTTCTCTCTTTGTTCCTCATCAGCTTGCAGAGCAGTATCGGTCTCTTCTTGAGAATCTTGCAAGTTTTCAGCACCATTACTGATATTACTTTCATTCAATTCTCCCTCATATGTCAAATCATCAATCTTGGCATTCGCCATGTTTATAGAATTTCGATCTTTTCAGTACGACAAAATAACAACTTCTAATACCCTATATATATGTATGTCGTACATACGACATATGTCAAATTTTTTAATTTAGATTATAGTCAAATATATAGCAGTAACATTATATTCAATAAACGTAATACGAATCTCACAAAATAATTAAAAGATTTTTACTTTATTCGATATTATATGCGAATTATGTTAATTTGTTGTTATAATATATAAATAAATAAATAAATATATATATATATATATATATCAATTAAATAAAATAATTAAAGGAGATTATTGACTTTCTAAGAAACGGTTTGCTTTGATTTGGTTCTACATTGCCATGCAGAAAAATTATCTCAAAGCTACAGAACAATATGGAATAAAGTTCATTGTATTAGTAAATATAATGATTTTTTGTATATCCTCTAGAGGGCACCGCTAATAATATTTTTGAAATATATGTATATATATACATACTTTTTGAGCGCGTTTAACTGTAAAGTGGTAAACCGTCAATCTTTTTATCTCGAAAAACATTTCTTAAATTTAATAAGAAATGTGTGACCTTATAGATTTAGACAATTCCACGGGTACTTCATTGAATACAAAATTAGCATCGCCGTTAATTCCGGTACCTTCAAATATAGAACATAGAAATTTAAATATTTGTTGTGATAGAAATAATACATTGATAATAGAAAAACGTGAAAGTTTAGGTAATAATCCTTTTGATATGCTACTACATAAAGCGATAGAATATGTCAATAAGGAAGAAGATCCATTTGAAATAGTATATGAAAAAGCTTTAAAAGGAACTGACATTGCTGTATTAGAAAATAAGACCATTAATATTATAGATGATTTCAAATCTACATACACACAATTTTCGTGTGAATTAAAAGAAGGTAAAGTTTTGGATGAATCTTTTTCAAATCCTGATCTTAAAAAATCTACAGCTGAGATAAAGTCATTAAATTCATCAATATTAAATCACTCTGCAATGAATGATACATTATATGATACAAATTATAATAGGGAAGAAAATGAAATTAAATGTATGGTTCAACATAAAGTACCATTACATATCCAAGAAACTGATAGAGATATGAAAAATTTGATCCCAATAAATATAAAGTCAATACAAATGCGATCATATTCTCAAGGTGATATAATACATGAATGCAAACAGCTGTTAAAATATAGATCAAATTCTGCAACAGAAACATTAAAAACTGACGGAATAAATATAAATGATACAGAAGGCAAGTCTTCTTCAATATTTAATGATCAACTAAATAAAGGCTTCTTAGAAGATCAATACAATGATGTCTCTGTATTTTCTACTATATCAAATATTTCTAGCATTACAAGAAATTCTGGTTCTTTAACACAAAATTCTATGGCCTCAATGGTATCAAATAATACTATGAATTTTGCCTTCTTAGATAATTATTCTTCATTGGTATTTTGTGATACAAAATTAAATGAAAGGGTGAATAGTACTATGAATAAAGTATCTGTAAGTTCTGGAACATCATTACCTATTACACCAGCTCAAAAACAGATTGATATATCCGTTTTAGCACAAAAACTGAATGAATTAAAATTGAAGACATCAGAATTACAAGTTTCTCAAAAAGATAATAATGAAAGTGACAATCAACATATAAATACAAGAGCAACATTTGATGTTGATGATAAATTGCTTGATATTGATGTTTGTTTACCTGAAATTACATTTTCTAAGTTATCTAATAATAATACTAATTCAGATGCTTCTTCTGATTCCAATTTTCTTGTAAGTAAATAAAAAATAATTCTTTAATTTTACTTATTTTAAAATATTTTGTTTTTTTAGTTTAAACTTTTTATACTTATCGTTTTACAGAAAAATAATAACGTAAATAAATCAATATTAAATGAGGCTAAAGCTCTTGCAAAAACATTTGAAGAATATGCAGAAAAAGCTTTAGGATGTATGTATACTTTTTATTATTTTCTATCTTTGTATTATATCAAATTTTTATCATTAATTTTTACTGTCAATATAATTTTATGTTTCCATAATAACAGCAAATTCAGATGAACTGATTATAGATGATCCTATGTGGACTTCAGAATTATTGCCAGCATTTGAAGATGACATAGTAGATGACTTAATTGAGGTACCATCTTTAAATGCTAATAATAGGGAAGAGAAGATTGGTGACATCCTATGTTATAATGATAAAACAAAATCACAGAATAACATTACAAAAAATATAGAAATAGTTCCTTTCAGTCAAATTATTGCTGATAAAAAAGCTACCTCCACTTTATTACTTGACCTCAAAAAAATAGTCACAACAGAAAATAATTCTGAGGCTAACAGACTACTTGAAAATTTAGAAAAAGTTTTAGGAATTCAATCCAGCAATATTGAATTATTATCTGCATATTTGCAAACAACAAATGATCCAGAAAATATCAAAAATACAAAAGAAGAAGAACATGATAATAAGAGTCATCTGGACGATTTAAAAATTCATGAAAACAAAGAATTATGTTGTAATAATAAAATAAAGAGTCGTGAAGTACTCAATGATAGTAAACAACTATTAATAAACGAAAATAAAATACAAAATGATTTACCATTAGTAAATACACAAACAGAAATTTCTCCAAAGAAAGAAAGATCTGTTGATATAGAAAAAAAAGAAAACGATGTTGATATTAACAATTCTACTCGGGAAAATATAAAAACAAATAATGATGAAAATAATAAAACAGAGAATAATGAAAAAGTTGCAGTAGAGCTGCTTATCAATTTAGGTAAAGTATTAAGTGGACAATCTAACGAATCAGCGACACTGAATTTGTTAAAGAATTTAGGGGAAGTATTAAATTTAGTATCAAAAAATAAGCAAGAAAAAAATAATGAACAAGATAATATAATTTCTACAAATATTGGAAGAACATCAACTAAAGAGAAATCTGGAAATAAAGTACAATCTACAATATCATTAAAAGTAAAACAAAGACGAAGTTTGGACTTAATATCAAAGGTGAGAACTTTAATAAGAAATTTGTTAAAATACATTATATTTTTTTCTCTATATGAAAAACTTTTTTATTATAATTTTAATATTTAATATTATAGATGAAACCATCTAACCAGAAAGCATTTAGAAGGAGTACTTGTGTAACTAGTGCATCTCCTAACAAAAAGCTGCAAAATTCATTGATACTTAAAGATAATAACAAATCTCAATTAAGTAAGAGTAAAAAGCGTTTTCCTAGTGATCCAGGTTCAATTAATCTGGTCTCATTTAAAAAAGAAGTTGCTGCTAACATAGGAGATCAGCAAATTATTAGTAAATATTAACATCTATTAATATTTAGTATTAAGTCCCTTATATTATGTTATATTACTGTTAATCCTTAATGTTTAAAAGGCTCTAATAAAGCTGGTCATACTTATAAAGTGATGTCCCTACAGCAGAATCTTTTAAGCATTAAAGAGTAAATGTAATATTTAAAATTTAATGAATTAAATTTCCTTCTAGATATACAAAAAATAAATACAGAAATAAATAACCCAAAGGAAAAACCACCTATCAAATTTGTTGTCAAAAGTCAATTAAAAAACAAATCAAAATTCGAAGTTGTGAATAAAAAAGGTCCTATGAAAGCAATTATTCCAATAGGAAATATGCACAGAAAAAGTATACACGTAGAACGAAAAAACTAAACATATAAAATATATAAATAGATGAAATTTCTCACTTAAATCTATGTTCTAGGTATTACTACACCTCCGAAATCACCTAAGAATGTACAACCCTGCATTAAAATATTCAGTAGCACACCCAATTCGATGGAAAATGAAATTGAATTTAAAAAATCTCCTAAATTAAAACCAATGGCATCATCGACACCAGACTCTCTTAAACATAAATCTGTTGTACAATTGCCAATGCTTCAACGTTGCGACAAGATAAATGCTTCATGCGATATATCACCAATAAACGTACAGGAGGAAATAACTACTGATAAATGTAAAGTTTATCTTAGTCCAAAAAGGTGAGAATATACACAATATATTTTTTATTCACAAACAAAAAGAAAACAACTGTAGTAAATATTATTAAATATAACTTCTTGTTTATCTACAGAGTGAATAAATGTTGTTCACCAAGAAGAGGGACGCCTAAAAGTCAGATAAAAGAGTCTAGTATTCCAAAATATTCCACGTCTCCCGGTGTTCTTGTAAGAGTCCCATCGCAAGATATCAATAAATCACAAGAAATATCAATATCGTCACAAATTTTATCTAAAAAAGAAGAAAATATTTATAAAAAATCACCGATGACTAGCAAAAAAATCGGAATAACAGAGCTGAAAAGTCCTTTAAAAGATAGTAATCATATTGTTACCAAGGGGAAACCATTAAATTTAACTTCTAAACTTCGAAGAAGCAATAATAAAATTAATGGAAGTGAAAAGGAAAATACATTTTCATAATATTCATGGTGAAAAGCAAATCATCGTATAAATCATTATATAGTACATTAATGTTTTTTTTTCAAGTTCCTTTTAGTCATATACTTTTTTCCGAGGTAAAATTTTTGTATTCATTTTATAATAAAATCATTGAAAAATGAATAAAAGATCATCTAATCAAATGCGCATTGATAATATACGAATTGAGAACATGAATACATCGATATTTGGTATTATATATTATCATCAGAGAAAATAGACAGTTTTATTGTACAAACGGTAGATACCGCTAGAAGGATAGCAATTATCGGACAGGTAAAAGTTATACCGTGAGGACCAGATAAAGCTGTTCAAGTAAATTCCTAAAAAGGAAACAATAGAACAGTTATATTTTGATAATTGAAATATATTAAATAGATAATACAAAATTGACATTGTTTCATTCGTATTTGACTGTGAGTCAGGTAAAAGAAAATCTAGGAGAAGTAGGGGTAAAAAGGTCGAGGAGAGGGGAGGAGCTCGATCGGTCGACGGAGCTGCGTCCTTCCCCTCCTGTGACTATCAGAAGCGCGCTCCGCGTGTACCGTAGAGCGTCGAGTGCGGCTCCGCTCATCCATATTCGCGTCAAAGCCGCACCCGGCGTGGCGTGGCGCGGTACGTTACGTTTGCTAGCGTTACGGTGCGGTACAATGTGTTGCGATGTCGTGCGATGTGGTAGAGCAAAGCGCACGTAATTCTTGTCAAGATATCTTATGTCGTTATTCGGTACTACAATTATAATCGTGTTAAAACAACACGAGCGCAAGATTGTTGGCGCTGGATTGGCGCTAGATCGACGCTGGATCGGCGCGGTACCCAAAGAGCGTATCGAGCACGTTGAAGTGCGTTACGATTCGTACGGATGAGTCGATCGGTCGATCTTTCTCAGGCGGTTCGTGCGAAGCGCGAGAAGAAAAAGAGCGCGTCTCGCGCTTACGTCGTGCTTGTGTCGTCGTCTCCGTCTCCGTCTCCGTCACCGTCGCCGTCGCCGTCTTCGTGCCGTCACCGTCTCGTCGTATCGTGTGCGGATAAACGCGCGCGCGCACGTCTTCGCTTAGCTGCACCTTGCTCGCATGAGACAAAAAGAGGATCGACGACGCGTCGAATAGTAGCAAGCAAAAGTACAAACGAAAGAAAGGAAAGAAGGAAGGAATAGAGTTCGTGCGCCTTGCAAGACAAGGAAAATTCGAGGTAATTTCAGTTTGATCACCGCACCGACCATACCACTGTAGTAAGGAGCGCGCGACAGAGGAGCTCCGGGTTACGCGCTCTTTATCGACGTTCTCCAGACTTTTCGACCACTCGCTCCTGATTTTAGAGCACCTAATGTATGCAAAAATGTGTATGCTCGAGCAGCGGCAATATTACGTATCGTGTGACGGTACATAAAGATATATACGCACTTACGTATATTATATACACATGCATATATATATAGATATATATACATATATATATACATATATACGTATATGTATACTGCACGACACATTCATCGTGTAGACACATATATGCGCGCTCTTACACAGGAATATACGAGTACGTAAATGCACGTTTATGTAGATTTGTCCGTGGAACCCGAACGCGTTGCGACGTTTGTAGGTGTGCGGCGCGCGCTCTGCCTGCGCGTCGTTTGCAACTACGGCTGTGGGCCGCTGGCAATCGTTCTTGCGACGCGCGTGAGAGAGGATCGTTGTTTGTTCGGTCCTTTCGTCCTCTCGTTTCTTCGTTTGTTCGTTCGTTCGTTCTTTCGTCAACCCATTTGTTCAATTCCCTGGTTGCTCAGGAAACGTATTATCAGTTGCAAAACGTAAAACTAATCGACAACGTGAGAATAAAAGAGAGAAAGAGAGAGAGAAAGAGAGTGTAGGAGAAGAGAGGTAGCGCGAAGAACGAGGCGCGATCGTGGCGCGCCGATGATACGAGACGGTGCGTGGACCGACGACGTGCGGACAGAGACGACCGTGCGCAACCGAGATTCTTTCTTTGCTCACGTCGCCCCCGGCGTGACTTACCGAGGACACTATATACCTATGAGCGAGCGTAAAAAGCGTTTTGTGCGGCCGAAAGATTGAGTGGAAACACTGTCCCTTTTGCGAGGGCACAACCCTCCTTCTTGAAACTTTTAATACCGAAAAAAGAAGAGAGAGTGAGAGAGAGAAAGAGAAAAAGAAGGAGTTAAGAGAAAGTGGAAATACAAGAGAATATAGGGAATATAGAGGTAATAAAAAAAAGAAAAATATAGATATTATTCTATTGAACGCCGAATATTTCTTTCTTCGTATATCCTTTTTGATCGTCTAAATTCATCGTATTTGCGCAGCAGCTAAAGGAAAGGAAAAGGTACGAAAAGAAAAAAAGAAAAGATTTCGTTCGAAATTGCCCTTCAACGTACGATCCAACGTAACGAGCTAACTGACTTTCGTAGAGAATATCATCGGCTATCGGTCGTATCCGACTTTCTCCCTCCCTCATACACGGCGCGCGGCAGCGGTCTCCGGCTTGCGCGCGCGCGCGGGCTACAGACGAAGGGCGCGAGCGGTGCTTGCGATTCGAAAACTCCTTCGAGGATTGACCATGCGTACGAGCGAGCGATGAGCGATCGCTTGTGAGATCCCGTAGGAGTAGGAGAAAGGGGAAGAGTTGAAGGTGGTGGAGGTGGAAAAGGAGGAGGAGGAAGAGAAGGAGGACGACGACGACAACGACAACGTCGAGAGAGAAAGAGAGAGAGAGAGAGAGAGAGAGAGAGAGAGAGAGAGAGAGAGAGAGAGAGAGAGAGAGAGAGAGAGAGGAGGGAAAAGAGAAGAGAATCGGCACGAGTATAGCGACGAAGCGAGGAGAAGCAAAGTGCCGCTTCGCGCGTTCGAACGAGCTACAGACTTTGCTACGCTATTGAACTTCGTTGATCGTAACAATCGATGTTGCTTTTCGTTCGCATCTAACCGAGTTGTGCTCTGCGCGTTTAACAAGTTTCTTCGAGATTTACGCTTTCTTTTTTGCCTTTGCCTTCGCCTTCGATTCGTCGACGAGCAGCGACACTCTTGGACTTTTTCATCCGTCGGACTACTTTTCTCTTGTTTTCTCTTTCTTGCGGCACGTTGACGGTATAAAGTTGCGCACGAACGAACGAGGGGCTACTACGCGAGACAGATCTCGAGTTCAAGAAGAGACATTATACGACCGCTGCGACCATTATTCAACGACCTTGTTTCTTGTGCTTGTTTTATGCAGGCTTAAGGGATACACGTTATCATGAAGAGAATAGAAAAAATTTTAACTTCGTTGTTCGCGCGAGAATGATCCGATGCAAGCGCGCGAATCCGCACGAGTGAGGGACGGTAAAAGGGAGATAGATCGAGAAAGAGAGAGAGAGAGAAAGCGATAGGGGTGGGGGGAAAGGTCGAAGCGCGAATACGCGTGCGGCCGGACAAAAAACGCGCGTAGAGCTCTGAACCTAAAGATAATACGCGGAAGCCGACGAGATCAAGTAGCTCTCTGTAACCCTTGATATCGCTAAGTGATATAAGAAAATAACTTTTACAGAGGTGTAAAAGAAGACGTGCACGTTGTTGTTGCCTTCAAGAAGACGAACGTGTGCGGTAAAGAAAGTGTAAGATAGAGCGAGTGAACGAGGAAGGAAAAGTAAAGTAGAGAGAGAGAGAGAGAGAGCAAAGGGTGGTAACAGCGCTACGTGAAAGGATGCAGCAGCACCGGGTGGAAACACAGATCCGTCACGAGGAGCAGATCCTGGAGGCGATAGATCAGTTGCGCCGACGTAAGGCGCGTCCCGATGCCGATCGTATTTGTAACTACCTGCTTCGAAAATTTTCGGTAGATGTACGAGATACGATCGCCGATCTTCATCGCTTAATCGAGGCTGAGAAGGTTATACAAGTTGATTATAAAGGTAATACAAGCTATAGAAACGCGTCCAAGTGGTCGCGTTTACAACTTTACAAAAATCGACCGGAAGGCTTCGTAAAGGAGAAACTGAATTCGGGGATGGTGGCTGGCGCGGTTGCCGAGCTCGTCGTCGAGGAACCGGATTACCTTGATCAAGGCGTGCCGGCTTATAGATTGGTCGAGCAGCTGCTCGATGGTGTTTCGAATCCTACTTCTAGGCGTATGGTCGAGGATTTCCTCGGGAAGGAAGTTGCGAGTGGTAATTTAACACGTCTCTCTAACGGCAATTATTCGCTGGTGGCGACATCCGACATGACGACTGCAACCGAATCGACGCATCGTGAGACCTTCACCCTTGAGAATATAGAAAATGGTAACATTAGGCGTAAGGACTCACAAACGGTTTCCTCAACCACTAGTGGCCCTTATGATTTCGATGAGACGGAGAATTTGACGATCGCCGATTCGGCTTCAAATACACCAAGGTCTTCGCGTCAAGCGAGTCCGAAGCCAGAAGCGTCGACTAAAAAGGAAGAATGTTTCGATATTCTCCTTACCAAAAATCAAGATCGTACCGAAGAAACTTCTCTCGATGGCGATCGAACGAAGGAGTCCGAAGATCCACTAGTTAGTGTCGACGAACGTAAAGACGACGCCAAAAGTACGGACAATCAGTGCCATAACCTCAAAAGATCCTCCAAATCGGAACGTAAGCAACGCCTACTCGTCAGGACAGATGATCCTATGGACATAGAGATCAAGTTCGAAGAGTTTCGCAAAGACAATAAAGAAGAATCTTCCACACAAAAAGAGAAGAGGGAGGATAACGAACATTTTAGCGAAGATCGCGACGACGAAGATGCTGGTAGAAGTTCTACGAACCCTTCCCCTACACCATCCAACGTCAATGTAGGTGGTTTTCGTAGTGCTCGTAGAAAGGTTCGTTTCTGCTCATTCATTATACTTAATTACAGGAAATTATTAATGCTTTAACAATTATACAATCTCTTTTTTTTGTTCTTTGATTTCAACTCAAGACCATTTTCCAGAGAGCAAAAAAAGTCTTCGACCCATCCGATAACAACCTTGTAAGGCGAAAACGTGGTAGACAATCTGGTACTCAAAATAAAACTGCTACAATTCAAGAGCCTCAGGAAACTGTTAAACCACAGATTAAAGATGGGCCTTGTAGACAATGTAGTCTTTGCGCTAAAGAAAAACAAGAAGCATTAGTTGCCTGTCGAGATTGTACAGTAAGAGGTGAGTTCCATGGATCTTTGCTTTTCTTTAAAATTAATTTAAATGTTAGTGTTATACATGTATATTTCGATTTTTTTTAGCCCATCCAAGTTGTATTTACAGTCCAGAAGAAATAATTCATAAAGCTGGTAGTAATTGGCAATGTGAACGTTGTAAGACTTGTACTATCTGTTGCGAAACTTCAGATGCTGTAAGTTGAAATATTATTTTTGTAATAGTAATTTAATTATTTTCATATGTTAATTATTTTTCTGCGTTTTATAGGGACCACTAATTACTTGTTACTCCTGCGATGAAGCATATCATCATTGTTGCCATTCACCACGTGTTATAAATCCAAAATCAAATTTAAGGTGGCAGTGTAACGACTGCATTCAAAAACAACAGAAAACGAACAACAATCAAACTGTCACCCTTGTTTCTACACGACCTGATACTCCATCAAGTACACCTGTATTACCGCCTGTTTTAAGTCCACAAGTATCGCCTGCTCGCGCATCTTCTGATCAAATGGAAGACGATGCTACTAAAGATGGAATCGATCCAAATATCCCTGACGCTTCAGATTGGACATCTGAACAAGTATATCAATATTTTGCCAGATTATTTCCTAAAGAAGCAGAAGTATTTAGGCAACAAGTAAGTAACACAGAATATATTTCATTGTTTTAATTATAAAGTAATTGTATTTCACATATTTGTTATATGTTTACAGGATATAGATGGTCATTCTCTTTTATTGATGAAAAGGTCGGACGTATTAAGTGGACTTGACTTGCTCTTAGGCCCAGCACTAAAAATTTATAGACACGTTTTAAAACTTCAAGTTAGACGGGATGATCCGAAGCTTTATTGGTTGTAAATTTATTTTAATATTTTAAGAAAAATATTTATAAGGAAAATGTTAATGCTCACTATATGTTGTACAGATCAATTTTCTTAACTTTACACATTCTATGTTAATATCTTTTTCAATTCTATATATTTTTTCATATTATGCATATTGTGATAATCGGAATTGGAAAAGTGATAACGTCTGAAAACTTTGAAAAAATTTAGTACATAATATAGAGATTATTTATATAATTAGAGCGGAAAAACAGTTGTATTTCTTACACTGTAGCATCTCTGTTTAAAAGATGCTTACATCGTAAGTTGTATGTTATATACTTCTGTTGTATATTGTACAACAAGGGTTTTAAAGACTATTATGTTTAAATAATATAGTGAGTCTACAAATAGCCAGTCTTATAAGAAAATTGTAGTATAATAATATTGCATAGTTTTTATTTTTGTTACAATACATAGTAAGATAAATATTTAGCATCTTTTCGATACTCTATTTAAGGAACATCGATATATTAATTTCAGATATATCTTCCTGTATAATAAATGTTTTGATATTTACATTGCATATTTTTATTACTAATAAGATAAAACTTTGTTTTCTGCTTTCTAGAAATGAGAATTATGAGATTAGTATTACTACATACATAGATCATTAATAAGTTATATAAAAATATCTGAAAATCTCTTTTACAAGCAGGAACTTACTTTTTTAGATACGAAGAAAAACTATCCTGCCTTTGGTGATATCTCATTATTGCATTTTGAAAGTACTAACGATAATGTTAAAAAACGTTGATTTTTTTATAAAATATAATAGATATATTATGCCATTTCACTTGTTATTCAACACTTTGTAAATTATGTAACATTATATGAATACTCAATTTTAACATTATCATTCTTTTATATTTATAAAATATATAATTTTATTTACTATTGTATTTTTATTATAATTGTTAGAAAACAATTATTACATAGCATAAATGCTGTGCCAAGATGTACATAAAATAACTTTTTTATTCATTAGCATATGATAACACATAATAGGGTCAATTTTATATAATGAAAAAGATTTATTGTATTAAACATCAATTTTTCCTAAATACTTTATTTTAAAACACATAAATCTTATGTCACAAAAATGTTTTAAGTCAACAGCTAATATTAACAAATTATCCATCTAGGATCACAATAATATCTCATAAAAATGATAAATCTAGATTATTTCTATCAATGTACCCATAGATACAATTATTCATGTTTTATTATTATAGTGATAAAAATAAAGAAATAGTTTGGTTCTATAAAATCTGTGGTTTATGGAAAATTGTTATATTGGTTATTATAGAGTTGTTTGCCTTATAAATTATATTAAAAATAATATATGTGCCTATAATGGCTTTTGATATTGATGTAAAAAAGTTGTACAGTCTTTAAACCAGTCTATCTCGTGCATACATTAATCATCTTCACTATTTTGATTGAATGTAAAAAGCATTAGTATCACATTGCATAATAATTCTTTCAAGACAACAAAAATTATAACTACTTATATAAGAACATTTATGACATGAAATACTTCAAACATATATGGTGTTTTATAGTATTCCACTCAATTAATACTTTTTTGGAATAATCAATTTTGAATTGATTACTTATGAAAGTTGAAAGCATGAAACATTAATGAATTAAATTGTTGCTTATTTTTACATATATATCATATCAAAACTTGTATTTAACTTATGAATTGTTGGATAGCATCTTGTAAGAAGCAAACATTTTAACAGTGCCAGAATGTAAAGGGCAACTGTAATGTAAATATCTTTTATTCAAACTTTTGTGAATATATATATATATATATATATATATTTAATATATATATTTAATATATATATATATTTAATTTTAATAATCTCCAAAATTACTTAATATTCCAATAACAAAGTACTTAAACTTTTAAGTTAACATCCAATTCATCATTAACATCAGTATATTTAGGAGGAGGCTTTTTATGAAATGGTTCTTCATCTGGCATATACAATGTTACTTTACCTAATGCTTTCTGTTTATCAATAACAAATTCTTTTATATTATCATATGTTCTATATAAATACATACACACTGCAAGTAATGCTATTGCAGCTGCTGTAGCAGAGGCAAAACGTGCAGATGGCATACCAGCATGTCTTGATGCACACTGAAACCAATCGGATCCAGGTATCCATGATGAAGTTGGTTCAGATTCTCCTGAATAGTCTGATGGAGTTTCATAGTCCATGGTCTACATTTTCATAGTATTGAGATTACTTATTAAAAAGCATTTTATTTATAAAAAAATTATTTGGTTATGCAAAATTAGTAATTTTTCTTATAATGTTAAAGAAACGTTTTTGCTAGTTAGTCTCAATTAATAATACACATTTAAAATATTGTAATATAAATATAAGACTTACCCCGGCATCCATTGGAACAGTTTTGATATAAGTTTGAGGTAATTTAAACCCATTGGAGTCCCACCACCTTGGAAGAAGCTCTTTTCGAATACCAGGGTCTGTTAGAATATCATTTTCTGGTATATCAGGATACATTAGTAATGTGTTAGAATCTACATATTCCTCTACATAGATAGCAATAGAAAAGAGTGATAACAAGTCGGAGACACGTTGTTTGGCCATAAAGTCACAACCAGTGCTGCAAGCATAGCGATCTTGTGGTTCTGCGTATGCTTCTGTGCATGCTATTGAAAGAAAGTTTAGTTACTTTTTCTTATATAACTAAAACAAAAAGATAAAAGCAAGCATTGTTTCCTACATTATTTAAGCTTAATATGTAATTAAAAATACAAAGATGTAACAGCTATAAGAATATTTTTAAACGTTATTGCCATGCATATTCTGTTAGCTGAAATATTTTTTTTAATGCTAAAAATTTAAAGCAATGTTTTTGTGGAATATTATTAAAATTAGAATGGAGTTAAATTTACAAGCTTCACAGGCATCCCTAGTGCCATTTAAGCCATTGGCTTCCAGTCCATAATTCAAGTCCACTAAATTGAAAAATCTACAGCCTCGTTGACAACAAGACTTTATATACTTGCTCTGAAAGGAAGAATGAAAGTAATAATATGCGTATATAATCAAAAATATACTTTTCATAAGTTATACTATAGAAGTAAATTCATGGTTCTTAAAATCAATACAATATTCATACGTTTGTGAGAGAAAGTGGTGTTTTCTCACATAAAGTGATACAAGGATCTTCACGATTTAAAAAATTATAACATATGTCACAATACACAATATTTATCAGAAATAACATTAAAAAGATAGCACTTTCTTTATATTTTTTCATCTCAATTCGTGGTATATTAACAATCTGTGTTTAGGAATCAAATGTTCTTAATAGGGAGGTCAAACTCATATAGGAAACTACAGTTGAAAACTAAATGTTATACCTTTACTGTCGATAGGTGCGCTAATATCGTCACCAACCATGTTCTCTCAGGAAAATAAACTATATAGTATATTATTATTTGCTATTTTATAAAATTTCAATAATATTAACTATATTATAAAAATACATGTATTAAAAGTGAACATGGTCATTAATTGATATATCATAATGTTATATTGATTTGTAATTAACTTTTTTAATGTAGAATTACAAAATGGGTTTCTATGATCAAAGCTTAAATGACTCATACAAATAAGTCTTAAGATATACATTCGTAGAATTTAATTGTTGTTATTAAAATAAATACGAATATAAAAAAATAATATATTCAATATTTATGTTTTCAATGTTTAGGAATTATACTTTGCATTCTAAATGATTAATAACATGGAATGTTGATATTGCGCGTTCGAATGGTATATACATCATATTTATGAGTTTTTTTTTATTTATATGTTAATCGTTTTACAGCACTATTTCTATAGATAATGAAACTTTTTCCTATAGGTAAATATAAAATTTACATTAAGATTAAAATACAAAACGATCTTATTTCGTGATTTAGAACGTATTTATAAACATCTTATTTGAATAACGTATTACCCGCGATTGGGTTCGTTCATATTTGTCGGCATTCGTGAGTAACTAATCCATTGGTACGAGGTTGGTTCGTTGTTAATCTTTCCATTCTTGTCTAAAAAAGAGTACTAAGTATATTTAGTATTTCAATATAAAGAAAGATTGTTTATTTGTTTCGCTTTACAATTAATTGAAGATCGAAAAAATGTTTGGACCAGGAGCTGCTCCTATTGTAGTATTAAGTAAGTTGAAAATCATGAAGACGATTAGCGTTTGTTTGTCAAATCAAAACGAAAATTGTATTTAACGCAATGTCGTGTGCTTTAATCATTGCAGGTCAGAATACGAAACGAGAGACAGGAAGAAAGGTACAAAAAGAGAATATTCAAGCAGGAAAGGTAAGTGATCTGAAGATCGAATAATTCGTGATCATGAAACTCCTTTTATGGACTTTTTCCATCTTGGCACACCCACGTGCACTTATATTATGAATATAGCGAGAATTTTTCAAAAATTGTCGAAAGCTATAAATTGAATTTATTTAAAATTTGATTTCTTTTCTCTTTATATGTATTTCGTTAAGCAAAATAATAATATAATTTTATACATATATATATATATATATATATATATATATATATATATATATCTTGAGTGAATACCGATTTTATTTTGTTACTGTATTATTAAAAATATAAAGATAAATTTCTTTTTGTAAAGGCAATTGCAGATGTCATTAGAACATGTCTGGGTCCACAAGCAATGTTAAAAATGCTGATGGATCCAATGGGTGGTATTGTTATGACAAACGATGGAAATGCTATTCTCCGTGAAATTACAGTACAGCATCCAGCTGGAAAATCAATGATTGAAATAGCTAGAACTCAAGATGAAGAAGTTGGAGATGGTACAACTTCTGTGATTGTGTTAGCAGGGGAAATTTTGGCTACTGCAGAACCATTTTTAGAACAAAGCATGCATCCTACTGTTATTATACGAGCATATCGACAAGCTTTAGAAGATATGGTGATAATTCTAAATGAACAAGTCAGTATGGATCTTGATTGTAATGATCGCAATAAATTGATTCAAGTGATAAACTCATGTGTAGGAACCAAGTTTATAGGGCGTTGGGCCAAATTAGCTTGTCAGATTGCATTGGATGCAGTTAGTACTGTAATGTTAGAAGAAAATGGCCGTAAAGAGATAGATATTAAGCGTTATGCAAAAGTTGAAAAAATTCCTGGAGGATCTATTGAAGATAGCACTGTTCTTAAGGGTGTCATGTTTAATAAAGATGTAACACATCCAAAAATGAGACGTTATATAAAAAATCCTAGGATTGTTCTGTTGGACTGTCCTTTGGAATATAAAAAGGGAGAATCCCAAACAAATATTGAAATATTAAAAGACACTGATTTTACAAGAATTTTGGAACTGGAAGAAGAACATGTAAAAAAAATTTGTGAAGATATAATTTTAGTTAAACCAGATTTAGTAATTACTGAAAAGGGTGTTTCAGATTTAGCCCAACACTATCTTGTAAAAGCTGGAATTTCTGCTATTCGTCGTTTAAGAAAAAGTGATATTAATAGAGTAGCAAGAGCTTGTGGTGCAACAGTAGTAAATCGTACTGAAGAACTTAGAGAAGAAGATGTTGGAACTAAAGCTGGGCTTATGGAAATAAAAAAAGTAGGAGATGAATACTTTTGCTTTATTGCAGATTGCAAAGATCCTAAAGCTTGTACAATAATTTTACGAGGTGCTAGTAAAGATGTACTGAATGAAACTGAACGAAATTTGCAAGATGCTTTACATGTTGCACGGAACCTTCTTTTAGAACCTAAACTAGTACCAGGTATATAAAATATATTAAATTTAACATAAGAATAAGATATAATGATCTCAATTGAGTTATGATCTAATGATTATATTTATTATAGGTGGTGGTGCCGTTGAAATGGCAGTTTCTCGTCTTTTGTCTGAGAAAGCAGCAGGTCTTGCTGGTGTCGAACAATGGCCATACAAAGCAATTGCACATGCTTTAGAAATAATTCCTAGAACATTGGCACAGAATTGTGGAGCAAATACTATTAGAACATTGACAGCACTTCGTGCAAAGCACACAACAGAAGGAACAACTTGGGGGATTGATGGAGAAACAGGACAATTGGTTGACATGAAGGAACGTGGAATTTGGGAACCACTTTCAGTTAAATTACAAACATATAAAACCGCTATAGAAACTGCTATTTTGCTCTTGAGAATTGATGATATTGTGTCAGGAAGTAAAAAGAAGAAATCTGATAATGAATCACCAAGTCAAGTGACCGAAGAATCCATGAAAGATTAAATTATATAATTTTTCTCTTAAATTTCAATTGCTTGTATCTACATTAAGAATTAATTATTTGCAGTCGTAATTGTGTTGCAATTTCATTTGCATATTTACACGCTTCACCTTTGTGTATGCATTTTCATACAATAAAAATAAATCTTAATAAATAATATATATAATACTTTTATATATTTTTCGTAAGTATGAGTGACGTTGTAACAATATGACAATATTTAAAAAAAAAAAAAACCTAATGTAGTTTGTGACGCAATTATCCAACCTATAAGTCTTATGCATATACTTAACTTTCACAAAGATATAGCTTGTTAATATTTAATATATATAGTCTCATATTACAATTCTTATCATTGTTTAGATAGTGTTATCTGCTAAATTGCATTATCATAATGATAGCTGTACTTCGGTTTTTATTTGCGCGGATATTCTAGTACAGTTCGTCATTGTCTAATATATCGTAATTAGCGATTATTAAGGTATATAATTTAAAGTGACGTTATGCAAAATGTGATCTTATTGTTCTAAAGTGTATATAGACATCGAGCATGTTCTTATTTGACTTATATGACAATATATATAATGTGGACCGCAATACTCTAAATAAACTTAATTTATCATCATTAAATTTATTTCAGGATATCTGTTTATAGCATATAGATATTTAATGATTTAATCTGAAAAAATATCTGCACGAGTCAATGAATCGAAACATTTTTTTTTCTTTCATTTTACAAATCTTTTTGCAGCTATCTTACGATATTTGAGACAAAATACTCTATGAAACAAGAGGAATTTTAATCTTCTGTAAATTATATTATATTTGTTTATATATGTATCAAATCATATATTTGGATTGAGAAAAAAATAATATTATCGTAGATATTTAACAATAGTTAACATGTTGACACTAACGCCGCTCTCCTAGTGGTAGTTATTGTTTCTATTGTATTACACACACATACTTACGTGCAAATTTTCATTTCACATTCATTTCACAGTTTTATCGTAATATTTATTTTTAGATAAATTTGTGCGCATTATATGATAAAATAAAATTGTAAGAAACTGTGAAAAGTTTTTTATATTGTAAGTACATATTTTTTAAATGTTTAATTGCATTTTGTTATACGTTTATAGAATTTAATATATTCGATACACCTATGGGAATTCAAGAGATACGAGGTGGCGTTTCGTACGATACAGGTATATCGATTGTGTGTGTAGGGTGGCCGGCATGGGTGAAGGCCAGCGAAGGCCGTAGAATGCCATACGATTTTCGTAACGGATATTTGGAAAACTTAATGTTGTTCAGACTCATCGAACGATGATCACAGACGTGAGATGATGCCTGGGATGCCGAATAATTCTCGTCAACTAGTTACTTCTAACGGTGGTAAATTATCAATTGGAAACAATTGTTTGTAGCGTCTTTGGATTAGCATTTTTACAAAAAAGCTTGACAGATGTTTAACGTTTTATCATAAATTTTTGACAAAAGATTCAGTTTATATCATAATCTAAATTATAATCTTTATCATTTCTTTACTATATCCATGTGTAAACACGAAAAAAAACTTAATTAACATGTTATTAATATTTATGTATATTTATCTTAATATATTTTTGTTTGTTTTTTTACAAAAGTCTTATAAATTAATCATTTATAAGATATTTTTAATTATTGAGAATAATATTTAGAATAAATCTAATTGTTATAAAATGTAACTATTTTACAAAGAAATTTAATAACTTTGGATTACAATTTTATCATATTTAAGTTCTTATTATTATTTTTGTATATATATGATAATAATTAAATAAAGCATACATATTTTTAAATTATTGACATTTGGTTTAAAATTAAATGTAAATATTAAAAATTTAAATTTACTGTGAAAATAGTTGTGATATTACAAAAATGTGTTTCTTAGGTTCCGAGTGGGATTCCTTGATGGAAGTTCACCATGAACCAATTGAAAAAAATTATGAGTTGTTAGAAGAAATTGGAAAGTGAGTATTTAGTAATTTGATTTATTATTTTTGGAATATTGATATTTGTTTGTCTATTATAGAGGTCAATTTGCCATAGTAAGAAAATGTATGGAAATAAATACTGGATCATTATATGCAGCCAAAATTATGAGAAAAAGAAGAGTTGCCAGAGGAGTAGCTGCTGCAGATATTGGTAAGTATTGATGTTAACACATGTTTCTGTAACAGATCAAATATATAACTATTTTCTTTAGCTCGAGAAGCCGGTCTTCTGGCACGACTGAGACATCCCAATATTGTTTCATTGCACAAAGTAATAGATACAGGCACAACAGTTGTATTACTTTTGGAATTGATTTCTGGAGGAGAACTATTTCATTGGACACCATCGGGTGAAGTAGAAGCTGCACATGTGGTTTGTATTTAAGAATATAGAATTTATAATCACTTATATTATTATACATTATTTTTTTTATAAATTGTCTTTGTATTGCTTATAAAAAAGATAACTTATATAGTATAAATTTTTTTGTATTTCCAAAGGTACGTCAAGTATTAATGGCTCTTAGTCACTTACATTCTCATCAGGTCGCTCACCTAGATATAAAACCGGAGAATATTCTTCTTTCATCTCCTCCTCCTATGCCAAGCATAAAATTAATAGGTAATCCATTTATACTTGAGATATAGAAGTGTGATGGATAAGTATTAAAATTAATTTTTTTTTACAGACTTAGGTCTTTCACATCGTTTGATTCCTGGTTCAGAACACAGAGCACTGTTTGGCACTCCTGAATTCGTGGCACCAGAAATTGTTAATTATGAACCATTAAGTCTTGGTACTGATCTTTGGGCAGTTGGCGTACTTACATATATACTTTTGAGTGGTGCATCACCATTTTTAGGAGAGGATAAACAAGAAACGTACGCAAATGTAGCAGCCTGTCAATATCAATTTGATAATGAATACTTTAGTACTGTATCAGAAATTGCTAAAGATTTTATAAGATCCTTGTTGATCAAGGATCCAAAGTAAGTATTAGTAATATATATATATACATATTTTTAAATTGAACAATACTTTATAAATTGAACATAAATATAATGAATTAAACATTATTTCAGAGAAAGAGGAAGTGCAGAATCGTGCCTTAAACATCCTTGGATCCTTACGGTGTGTTTATAATACTAGTATTTTTCTAAAGTAATCTTATAATATATTGTTATGCTATTTATTAATTTTTTGTATTTATTACGCATTAATATAATATAATTTTCAACATGAATGATCATTCATAATGCATTGAATGCTTCTTTAGTTAAAATGATAAGAAATTATGTATTATATAAAAATTACATTTTTTAGAGAGTAATACATTTTTTTATTTTATGTTTTTAATATTTCTTTTAACATACAAAGAAAATACACAAAAATCCAAATGATGTATTCCATCCACTATATGCATATTAGACAATGTGTTCCATAATAGCAAATAAATGATTTAAATGAGACATGAAGTTATTGTAATTATTACATTGTTTATCTTTCAGGAATCTGAAGCATCTAATGGACTTGGTGGAGCTATGATCAGTGCTGTCAAACGTGGTTGTGTTGAAGCTGTCTCCCAATTATTGTTGCAAGGAGCCCCATTGAACATGAAAGATTCTGTATGAAGCTTTTTTTTAATATTTTTTAATGTGTTGAAATTAAATATAATAAATATTTTATATTATAATAAATATTTTATTTTAAAGAAAGAAGATACACTTTTACACATAGCTTGTGAAGCTGGGGATGAAGGAATGGTTACATTATTGATAGAAAATGGTATAGACTTGGATACACCAAATAAAAAAGGCCTAACGCCATTACACGTGGCTGCTAGGCATGGTCATATCAATGTTGTTAGACACTTGTGCCTTGCTGGTTGTGACGTTGATAAGACGAATCGTGGAATACGTGCAGATGTTACAGCAATTAAATATGGTTATCCAGACATTGCAAATCTATTAGACAAGCTTCGGATAGTGAGTTTTTTTTTTTTTAATTCATTTTATATAAAGTTAGTTTAAATATTAATATTATTTGGTATTATTTCAGCCAAGCCAACGTGAAAATTATATTAGACAATTGCAACCAACACATAGACCAATTGATCGTTTACATATAAGACTTTTGGGACATTGTGCATCAGGAAAGTCCTCTTTAATTAGTTCTTTAAAATCTGGAATTTTTAGTTTCGGTTTTTTTAGGAGATCGAGGAGTCAAAATTATTCAGCAAAGGTATATCACATAACATTAACACATTATTGATATAATAAATTTTGTATTAGTTAAAGTAATGTTTTAAAAAGAATAATTTTATTCAGAGAGAACCAAGTATTGAGTTAGATGTTACTAGTAAACATGGTTCTCTCAGTTTTGAATATAGTGATAGTGAATATGAAGGTACACAAGGTGTAGAATGGAGTCGAGGAAATGTCGGTAAGAGAAAACAAATTTTTTAAATACATATAAGGGATTATAAATATAGTATAATAGAGATTATCTTTATAATATAATACAAAGTATTATATAATTTTTTATCATTTATTTTCATAGGAGGAGAATGTGTATTTTGGGAATTATGTGGCAGAGAAGAATATTTAGCATCTTACCACTATGTACTTACATTTCAGCAACCAGCAGTTCACCTTATTACAGTTAGTCTTCGCGAACCACTTACCGTTCAACTTCAGCAAATAAAATTTTGGCTCCGTTTTATTGTAGATCGAATTACACCTAACAGTATTGGTTTGTTGAAACTAATTTTTAATTCTATTTTATTGTTCGTTTTTTTTATATATTTTTTATATTCTTTTTTTATTAAAGGATTTGCTGGGAAATGCAGTGATATAAAAGTCATTTTAGTGGGTACTTATGCGCCGGAGCCATTAGCACCGAATTCCAGTGGTGGTAGCCTTCTCAGTCCACTCTTACCTTTTTTGAAAGATTTTACATTGATTTTGGGAGATGAGCCTCAAATGGTAGCGGTGGATGCGACCAATCCTTCTAGCCCTGGTTTGAAGCTGCTCAGATCTTATTTAAATAATGCAAGGATGGAGTTTCTTGAGGTGAAGCAACAATATTTCTCACGTTGAACGTGATAACACTTTATCACGCGCACTAGAAGAGAAAATGTTTCTCACTTCTAACTTCACAAAAAAAAACATACATATATATATATATATATATAAATACGAGTTTCTCAATTTTCATCAAGTTGTGAGCACTCTGTAAGCATTTTCAGTCTCTTCTAGTTCTTGCTCTAACTTTAAATATATCTTCTATACTTCAGTATGCTCTTGATGCATTTCAAAGTATACTAAGTGCACGATATCATAGCATGCTTGATATCTGGTACGAACAGGTCCGTTTAACGTATAATTGATTATAAGGGAAGTGTTCTATTGTTTATGGACATATAACATATCTCTTTGATCAATTTATAATATTATATAAATTTATAAAACGGTCCTGGTCAAAAATTATACTTCACTTTGCATATGTACACTATGTCTGGCAGTGTTAACATATTGGTGAACTAAGCAAAGAATTAAAAAATATATCAACATTTTTGCTACATTATGCTTTCTTCACCAATTTTTGGTCATCGATCCAATGCATGGTTAATTTAATACAATTGTAAGTAAATCAAGTCATTGAAAGTAAATATTTATGTGTTCTACAATTTTCTATCACATTGGTTATTTGCAATGTCTGACTAACATAAGCACAAGTTAAACATTAATGAAATACATGAACTTGTAAAAACAGACTCTTATCGATATATTTTTTGTTAACCTTTGAACGAAAGATATAAAGTTTCTATAAAACTTAATTTAATAATTTAATCTGATTTAAACATCTCTCTATAAGATCTGTTTTGAAAAGTTATTGTTCAAATATTAACATCTTCATATTTGATCATTTATTCCATTGTATCTATTACATGATCGAATGACTAATAACATATGTTTTGGTTGCTGATTATGTGGCTATTAAAGTTTATTAACATCAGCCTTAATGCATGCCATGCATGATGTAGGATGGACCGGAAGTTGCAGAAAGTTTTCTCCGACGTGACACACCGCGTGAAGCGGCCATGTACGTGCCCCTGGCGAATCTTGATAAACAGGTCGATCCATTTCTCAATTCCTTTGATAAAAGTGATGTCTCTAAAAAGAATTCTACTTCTTTCAAAGTAGATGCTTTAATGCTTTGCCCCAAAAATACATACATGCACTATTATCAAATGTAATAAAGCATAAATATTTCTCTTGTATATATTTTACGCATCAATATGTGTTATACATCTTTGTATGTCTTTATAATTGATCTAGAATTTTTACTATAGAGTGCTTTGGTATGGACCGGTCTTGCTGAATCATGGAGAACATATGTACAATCTTTGGAAGTACCTCCAGTAATGCTTACACAGGATGAATTTTTGAATGAAATCAGAAAAATCAATCCTTTGGTTTGTTTAGAGCATTCTAAACAACTTGGATTACAATTACAGGTATATATACATAAAATGTTATTCTTATCCTAGAGCTAAACTGACCATTTCATATCTAAACTAACATCTACGTTAGTATGAAGTAATAGCTGGTAATAAAGATATAATATTTTTATATAGCCATTATACTGCCATATAATGGCTATAGCCATGGCTGCCATATAGCCATTAGACCATCGGTTCTAAAAGATGATAATAACCTATAGTACCTGAAGTTATTATACCTTTGGATCCTTCTTAACAAAATAATGTATTTATTATATAAGTATATAATCATATATTTTTTTTTACAGAATTTAGGAGAATGTTTACTTCTTCCTGGCGACTTAATAGTTCTTAGCCCAGAATGGTTTTGGCAAGATGTTATAAATTGGCAATTAAGTCCTGATCAACGGGGTCGTCTTGGAGGACGTACTACAGGAGTTTATACTTTAGAAGATTTTCAGGCACGATGTCCTTGTCCAGCAAGTCAAGCTTTACAAGCTTTACAAGCTGTTAATTTGTGTGTTCCGGTATATTACCGATCTTTTTACTTTTTTATCTATTTAACTTATTACGCAAAAAATATAACAAAAATAATACTTTGCTGAAATGTTTTCATAGTGTGAAGTAGATGACGATGAAGTGGAATATGAATTACCTTGTTTAAATCTGGTGGAACGTCTTCCTGGTTTATGGGAGCCATGGAAATCATCTACGAATTCGTTGCCACATGCGGGTCTTCGTCTTTGTCCAGCAGAGGCTCCTTTATACCATTTATCTCCGATATTCCCACACTTACAAGTATGAATAATTTTTTAATACTTTGCATGCGTATAAGATAAAAAGATAAACATATTGTAACGTGTTTTTAACAAATAGGCTCAATTGCGAAAAATTACTCAAACTTGGGATCCATCAAATTCGGATCTATATCAATGGTGGAGAGGATCAAAACTGTGTGTGGGTCCTTGCGAAAGTATCGTAACATTTGAAGAGGAGGAACGAAGTTGTATAGAAATTCGAATACGAGGACCTCGTGGATCTAGTGCTCAATGTTTTGGACTTTTCAGTGTTATTTTGGATGCTGTCAATGCTACTCTTGACTTAGTAGCACCTGGAATGCTACTTGAGAAGCATTGGCTTAGTCCAAGTCAACTTCAAGGATATAGCGATGTTAGTAACTTTAATTATATGTATTTCGCGTGGTATATTAATTTAAGAGTCACATGTTTGCTTTTATGATATTATAGGTAATACATTCTTGGGAACCTGCAACAATAGTGTCGGCCTTAATAGATAAAAATTTGGAAGAAGCTATACTTAAAAATCCAATTAACAATCAAGAAGAAAGCATTTGGGACATTGTTGGGTGTGGGTTACCCCTGATGGAGAACTGTCTTCCAGGTACAAGACAACCTCTTAAGAGTATAAAACCTGCTGTAAAAAGAAGATTAGCTGAAATGCTAGATCCACCTGATCATCATGGAAGAGACTGGTGTCTTCTTGCCGTAAGATTGGGTTTAGGGGATCGAGTTGCACAATTGGACAGTACAGTAGACAGTCCGACGCTCAGGTTAGTATAATCGTGAAAATTAAATTAATTAATTGACAATGTAATTATTATTATAATAAGATATTTCCATAGGTTACTAAATTGTACAGGCACGGATTGTACTGTCAGTTCTCTTATACAGCAATTACGTGCCCTTGATCGTGGGGATGCCGTGCATCTTTTGCTTTCTCATACGCCAGTGTATGTTTTATCAATGGCTATTGATTCTGAGACAGGGTCTAATCTTTCCAGATGACGATGCTGCGCATATCGACGATGTATCAATACTTTCTAGATTAAACAACCAAATTTTTAATACTGCAGCACTTGAAATTGCCAAAGCATCACTGTTTCCGCCCGTTATAAATGTTGTATTAATTATGTAAGTATACTAAGTATTTATGTCATCTCTTAATGACACCAACTGCGTTTATTGTGTAATTTTATATGTCGATTTGAAAAATAACGTATGCGTGGCACTTTGCAAATTTATTACTTAAATGATATAGTTTACGTGACAAAGTTAAAAACATTGAAGATTTTTTACAGCTGCATTTTAAGGATGTGCGCGATTACATCTTCAATCAATTCACTGTACTTTGTAAAAGTACAGATAAAACGTTTGTCTTTATACAACATTCGTGTCATGTTCACTGCATTGGCATAAGTAGTAGGTATTATATATATATAATACAGTATTCCTATAGATTATTTAATATAAGGAGATCTTATTTCTCTGAATTGCATTCCTATGCGTCGATATACAAATTTTTCTGCATCATGTTATCATTCCTTATAATGCTATGAAAAGAATCAATTCTTTGAAGGCAGAAAAATAAATCAATATGCTACATATCTAGCCAAAAACAGAAGTACCATTATAATAAACCAGATATTTATATCCAAGAATATTTCTAAATATTATGCGTACGCATAAAAAACGAAGCAATTTCATACTACACATATATAAAAAAAGAAAAAAAAATATGATATTGAATTTGATATCGATATTCTTTCGAAAGCTTTTTTGGTATCTATATAACAGTATCTTATCAAATATCAATTGTCAATATGCACTGTTTTCATTTAGTAAAATATGTATATATTTGTATGTGAATGAGAACAAAAAAATTTGCACAATTTTTAAAATTAATTATAAGTATGTTGTGTGATATGCTTGTTCATATGATATGTACATTTCTTATTATCTTGCTACGTACAGCTGTGAAAGACTTTATACTAAAAACTTCACAAGTAACATATAACTCTTGGTTAGTATTTAATAAGTAGTTATAGAAAATTAAAAAAAAAAAAGAAAAAAAAAAGAAAAAAAAAGTTTTTCCATTATTTATATATGGATTAAATGCTTATTATGATTTGTGATTTGATTACATGCTGGAGCATGTAATTTTTTATACAGTATTTAATACACGTTTCTGCCAGAATATATATCTATTACTATAACTTACGGATGAAAGATACGGATTAAAATTTTTAATTAATCTTGTCGTTCAAAAGCTTTGTTATAATCAACTAACGTAATGTATTGTTTAAATATATGTATTAACAAGTCGCGAAAATTGAAGAGTTACTTTTAAGAAAAATAAGTGCATACTATCTAAGTTTATATTATATTCATACTAATGTTAATTAAAATGCCAAACAAATAACACGTATGGAAAATAACATTATGAATACAATAAGAATTTGAAAATTTTTGATTATTATTTTATATTTCTAAACATTATGTATTTCAAAAATAAACAATTTCATAATTATTGTATTATATTTAAGACTTTGTAAGGATGTGTTCTCGTTGCTTGCTATTAGCTTTTAAATATGTTTTGTAATTCTTGTTATGAGAAGAACAGTTAATGTATGTATGTATACAATTTTCAAAAATTTCTATATCTGCTGCGATACGCTTTGGAAAGTTTGTGTTCTAAAAATATTGCTTTTTGTGATATAATATTAAATCTAAAAAAGATGTTTAGTAATACATTTGGAACAATGAGACTGTGCACGATAAGCGCGTGCAGTTTGCAAAATATTTAAGAGGTTTATAACATAAGAAAATAGCTACTTGTAAGTTCTAAAAGGTTTCTAAAAAAGGTGTAATGGGAGTACCGGGGATATATACAGTAGATTTTTTTTAATCATATATACTCCCCACAAACATACATGCACAAACACAAACACAAATACACACACACACACACATTTTATGTTTTTTAAATGCTATATATCATATAATGACAAAACCGACGATTTTATGCATAATCTATAAGAACATAGATATACTTGTAAAACTTAATCCTTCTCTAAAACTATGTCCTGGACATTAGGTCAAGAATGAAATTGATCTGTTATGACATGTATTGTAACTGATATATGTATACATACGGTAGTGAAGTTATTTGCACAGACGATTCAGCGGTCCATTTTGTTTCATCCAAGCTTGTTCCTAAAATCTCCATTCCAATCGCTTCCCAATTTCTATAAGTTTATCTCTGGCGCGTTTGAGTTTGATTGCATGCGAGGCGTTGCGATTCGATCGGTCGATCGGTGAATCAGTCGAGCGGGAAAATTCGAATGGTCAATTAAAAGATAATTGATAAAATTAATTTCAAATTGTATTGCAAACGTGATATGAAGGATCGAGTACGATGACGAACAAGACGCATCGGGTATTGCATTCCCGATGTTTGCTGTTTACTATGGCCACTCGGTTACGTGGTCGGTCAGAAAACAGGAACGAGATTCTTTTAGAGGCCGAGAATAGCATGGGAAGGCGGAGATCGCGTTTCGCGGCTAGTAGTCAGTATAGTGAGGGGGATCGACCAGTTAAGAGCCAGGGTAAATTCGGGACCATAGCCAAAGTCGTTAAGCAATTATAGAATTGGATTCGATCGAAGAGTTCGGGGAGGACCGTGCCACACCGGTTTCGTTTTATTTTAGCTTAGCTTTCGAAGGCATCCGGTTGTGCATTCTCACATCGTGGATCATCGCTACGATCAGAGTGAGTGATATGCTCTTTACTTAATAAAAACTCATTACCTTTTCTTTTGGTATCGCGACATATCATCATTAAATATGATCGTGCTTTTATATACGAACTTTACTTATGTATTTTGTATAAGATCATTTTTTGTAATGTATAGTAAATAATGAACGGAAAAAGAAAAAGTGTTAGCGATATTTTAATATTACATGATATTTCTATGCATTTGTGATTAAAAAATGTTATTATTTTATTAATTACATTTTTCTCGTTTTTTTAGGTATTAAAAGTCGAGAAATATCATCAGTAAGGAAAACGTAAAGAGCCGCCCGTCATCATGGAGGCGATCAAGAAGAAAATTGCGGCACTGAAGATGGAGATGGATGCCGCTAATGAGAAAGTCGAATTGAATGAAAATAAAGCGAAGCAAGAAAATATGCGTGCCGACAAATTGAATGACGATTTGAGAGATTTGCAGAAACGATTGGTTCAACTCGAGAGGGATTATGAAATAACGAAGACTCAGCTCGAACAATCTACCGCCGATTTGGAGCAATGCGAAAAATCTTGGTCTAGAGTGCGTAAATGTGATTTTTTTTTCTCTTTCTTCTTATTCATTATTAATTTATCGATTGTCTTTGTTATATTAACAGGCTGAACAAGATCGAACGTCGTTGACGAAAAAGGTTCAGGAAATTGAGGCGACTCTCACTAAGAAAGAAGAATTACGTCTTACCGCTCAGACGAAACTTGCACGTGCGACGGAACTCGCTGATGATGCTTCAAGGTTTGTACTTAGTGATCCAGATTTGAGAAATAATTCGGAAAATATATTTCACTTTATAAAAGGATGATAATCGTTGAAGAATACCGATAAATACTTAATTACAGTTTCTTTCTGCAGAATGTGCAAAGTGTTGGAGGATAGGAGTCGACTCGACGAAGAACGTACGCAAAAGCTGATGGCGGAATTAAAAGATGCGAGGCTGATCGCCGAGGATGCTGACGCGAAATCGGATGAAATTGCGAGGAAATTGCAATTCGTTGAAGAGGAACTCGAAGGAGCGGAAGAAAGAGTGAAGACGAGCGAAGCGTATATATATTTTATTATTGGAATATTATCGAGTATCGTGATTTATAATTCGATCTAAATCAAGACGTTTTCTTTTCTATAGAAAAATCGTTGAACGAGAAGATGAATTATTCATCGTGCAGAATATTGTCAAGTCGTTGGAGGTATCCGAGGAGAAGGTAGGTTATATAATTTTAAGTTACAATGATCACGATGATACGTAACGACTTTTCGTTACAGGCGAATCAACGAGTGGAGGAATTTAAAGTGCAGTTGAAGTCATTGAAGAAGAAGTTAAAAGAAGCCGAGAAACGTGCTATTCTTGCTGAAAGAACTGTCAAGTTACTATTGAAAGAAGTAGATACCAAAGAAGGTATTATCATTATTTTACTTTGTTATTATATTGATTAAGATTGAATAAAATTTCGAACATATAATTGACGTCGAACGATGTTTCGATTTACAGATGAGCTCAGAGAGGAGAAGGAGAAATACAAGGCTGTTTGCGACGACATGGATGCCACGTTCGCCGAGATGACGGGTTATTGAGATCGTCTAGACGAATTCAATTTTACATTATTTTATTACATCTGCGCTTTTTCCGCTTATTCGCTACATCTAACACGGACGTTCTTTCATTTATGTCCGATGTGCTTATATGCTGATTCGTGTCATTATTTTAATTTGTTAAGGAATACTTATATGACTTTAATATAATTTGCTTTGCGAGAAGCTTCGCGATAAGTTAACCGACGTTAGGAGGTATGCACGTTGCTAATTCTTAATCGTAGCCGCTTCGCTCTACGCATAACACCCTGCCAAGATCTATGGGGTCAGTGAATACTGGCTCACGGTCGCTTGAGAAATTGATGCTCTTCTTGATAGAACTGATACGTCGCCTCTTTTCTTTCAGAAGCATCTACGTGGGCTAATATGGCGAAATTGCGATACGTGAAAAAAAAGCACGATACTCTTCTTTCCCTTTTTATTGTTGTATGCAATTCTGTATTTTCAATAAATGCCTATCACGATAATCGCTGTTTATAACGATTATTCTCGATTATTAGTTATATATATATATATATATATATATATATATATATATATATATTATGGTATATTTTTACAGGTATGACGATTTATCATGAGAAAATTATAGATTTATGTCGAAAAAATACCCTCGGAAAAGCTACTTGTTTTTCCTTTTTTTTCTTTTCCTTTTTTATCCTTATCGCCGGTCAGTTGTTGAAAACGGGCGGAATAAAGAAGACCAGAACGCTAACAAGTCAAAGAATTCGTTTGAGTCTAACTAAAGAACCCGGTACATTGTTTCTTTTGCATTTCTTTGAGTCTATAAAGCATTGTCTTGATCGGTCATCGAGTGCAGTAACCCGCGAGCTTTGGATTAGAAGGTCCGCTACTCCATCACCGCGATATACATACGTATATCGATATAAACATCGATCGAACTATGAACGCGATCAAGAAACGTTTGCAAACGTTGAAGGTCGAGAAAGATCTTGCGATAGATAAAGCCGATATGTGCGATCAACAGGTAAAGGAGGCTAATCGTAGGGAAGAAAAATTGAGAGACGGTGTACGAGAACTGGGAAAGAAACTAATTCAAATGGAACATGATTTGCAAGTGAGCAAAACTCATCTAAAAAAGTCGATTAAGAGTCTCGAACAGAAGGAAAGAATTTATATCGTGGTTAGTGAAAAATTTGCAAAACTAATCCTTTGTTTATATCCTTCCTTTTGTTCTCGTTAATTTAATCATTCAATTATTTTCAGACGCAATCCGAACTGGCAATATTGAATAGAAAAATGCAACAGTGTTCGGAAAATTTAGAAAAATCCGAAGAACGACGACTCGTTGCACAAGTTAAGTTAACGCAAGCTATGGAAACTGCAGAAGATGCAAAACGGTTCGTCGCGAAATTTCATTTATTATTATTTCAAAAGATTTCTAATATTCCATATATATGTATACATAATTTTCAAAAAAATTTTTACGTAGAATTTGTAAGGTATTGGAGAATAGAAGCAAATTGGACGAGGAAAGAATGGATCAATTGACGGCACAGTTGAAAGAAGCCAGGCTTATCGCTGAAGATGCCGATAATAAATCCGACGAGATCTCACGAAAATTGACTTTCGTTGAGGACGAACTCGAAGCCGCGGAAGAAAGAGTGAAATCGAGCGAAGCGTACGTTCTTTTGTGTAACAAAGTAATTTTAGAATAAATTTCACTTCTCTTTTTTTCCTTTTTTTTTTGTTTTTTCATACTTACTTTTCCGTAGTAAAATCGTCGAACGCGAGGACGAATTGTTCATCGTCGGTAATATATTAAAGTCTTTGGAGATATCCGAAGAAAAGGTAGGATAGTTTACGTAACATCGAAAAATACGATTATAGTTCTACGTAATTTATTTTTATCCTTGTAGGCCAATCGGAGAGTGGAAGCGTTCAAAGCGCAATTGAAGGAATTGAAAGTTAAATTAAAATCAGCTGAGAAGCGAGCAATTATAGCCGAACAAGCCGTCAAGGTGCTTGTCAAGGAATTAGATTCGAGAGAAGGTGGGCAAAATTAAATTGTTTTTTTTCCTTTTTTCTCTTCTTTCTTTTTTTCTTTTTTTTTTTTCTTAAAATTTAAATCGAAGAGAGTTACGTTTATATGTACGTATGTTTTAGATTATTTGTTTAAAGAAAAAGAGAAGTACAGGTATATATGCAACGATATGGATTCCACTTTTGCCGAGCTTACAGGATTTTAATCGAGTTGATCGTATTGGATTCTTAAACTTTTCGTTATTTTTCTTCTTTCTTTTTTTTTTTCTTTTTTTCATCTAGGATGATATTGTTGTACTTTTGTATAAAAAAAGAATGAGATAACGAAAGAACGGATATGTTTTACACGATATCAATTTATTTAATCGATTCTACGATCGACGCAGTGCTTCGAAACTTCATACCTTCGACTTTTTAATATGATTAGAGCGAAATAATGCTCAAGTTCATTTATTTACGTCGTTAATCGCAGTCTCGCAACGGAAGAGAAATTTTGGCAGTCAGCAGAGATATTGAGTTTATTGACAATTAAAATCTCGGCGAGCTTTATTATCTTTTGTTTTCTTTTTTCTTTCCTTCTTTCCTTTCTGTTTTTTTTTTTCTTCTTCTTCTTATTTTTATTCGAGATGACGCTCCAAAGAGGGGAAAAGAGATTTTTAGATCGTTCGCACAAGCATACCACCACATTCGCGCAAGATACTTTTTACAACGACACTAATAATAGTTATAATAATAATCGTTCGTTTGATTTGCTCTCACATCTTCTGTCTTTTTTCTTTTTGTTCTTCGCGAGAAAGTCGACGATCAAGAAGACGGTAACTTCGAATCGCGATCGGAAACTGGATCGAACGGCAACGAATAGTTTTAATTTAACTTCCAAAGATATTATTCGTAAGGAGATCTCAAGAGAATATCATCGATCGATCCAATATGATAAAACATATTTATATAAATACCGTACGCTATACGTACGAGGGTCGTTCATGAAATGAGCTTGCGAGATCAATCATATTCAATTCTTCAATTCAATGTTTATTGATATCGTTGCGAAGCTGAAAAGATCAATGACATTTTTAAAATACGTCGAATAATTCCTTAATAGATACATATATATATATATATATATATATATATATATATATACATATACACATATATATACATATATATAGCATAGAGTATTTAAAAATTTCTTTTTAGTATAATTCCAGATCTCTTCAAAGTATCTCGCTAACATATTTTTTGAACGACCATCGTATAATCTCGCAATGTAATCGTGGCACTGAGTCTTCCTACCGAATCGTTAACGTAGAAAAAAAGGATCGGCGGAATTCGATCGCAATGAAAAAATGTACAAAAATTCGGCGGCGGACGATCGAGTGCCCGACCTAAAACACGTGTCGTAAATAATACCCGCTTTCCGGTAAATGATACTAACGAATTCGAATCGAACTCTACGAGTTTGATTGACGTGCTTCTTTTTTTACTTCATTTTTTTTTTCTTTTATTATTATTATTATTATTATTATTATTTTATATACACCAACGCAACGTTTCTCTCTGTACGTAACGCGCGTCTTCGCTCCGAGTTCTTTAAAAGAATGACGACAAAACTTCGTTGAAGATATTATCCATGGTAATTCTTTTTGTTCTTTATAATTTTTTTTATTTCATTCTTTCTTTTTCTTGTTTTTTTTTTTTAATTTGTATTATTACTATATCTATACACTTTAAAGTCGTATCTTCGATTTTTGAAAATGCACCGAGAGGGGAAACGTCTTCAACAAAACTTTATCGTCCCCGTGCTTTCTCTCACATTCATTATACGCGTATACCATTTTGGCCTCGTCTTCGCATTGTCGCGCACTGTTATTTTTTTTCTTCTTTTTTTTTGTTTTTTTTTGTTTTTTTTTGTTTTTTTTTTCTTTATTAGTTTAGGGCAGTAACCACTATGATTGGCCAACGAATATCTTATTAATAATTATTAATCTTGGTGTAGTGTGTTCCCAAGTGTTAGCGTAGTTTTTTACGCAAAAAGCAGTCTTTCGGAAAAAATTCGTGATCGCTACGAAAGACAATGGAGATCAGTCAAGATTATTATTGGATCCATTCGATAGTCTGCAGACTGGCAGTGTCGTGGAAATATTTTGGAACTTGGAATCTTTAAGGTCTACTAACCTCTATTTACTCTATCGACGACGACTTACGGCCACCGATTCGACGAAAATCGAATTAATTTTCTTTCTCCCTCTTATCGTCGGCCGAGCGAAAGTCGAACGGACGCAAGATAGCAACAGTGATCGATTTGATATTCTTTTCTTTTTTTATATTTTTTTTTTGGTTTTTTTTTGGTTTTTTTTTTTTGTATTTTACTGACAATTAGATGAATCTTTTTTTTTTTTTTCTTTTATGAGCGTGCGCGACATTCGAAGAGAGATACGGTTTTCCGCGCCTCTCCCGTTTCATCATCCTTTTTTTTTTTTTCTTTATCTAATTCTTTTTTTTTTTGTTTACTCTCCCCATTTTCTATTTCTCTCTTTCTCTAAACGCTCCGAAGAGTGGACAATAATAATTCGTAGAGTTGGATGAAGTCCATTCCATCCTTACTAGATCCTCATCTTCGTCGCACGGAAAAACGTACTATTTAGAAGTCTTTTAGGATCATAACGGATTTAAAGTAATTAACGATGTGTACTCGTACGTTATAAACTCTTACAATGTAACAGAGTTCAACGATTTATCGAGTCTCGTCCCGAGGACGAAAATCATCTCCATATTTCTATCCCTTCGTTCCACTATTTTATTTCTCGTTTGTCTTTCTTTCTTGCTCTTTTTTTTTTCTTTTCTTTTTTTCTTTTCTTTATCAATACCTCGACCTATATTTATATTATTCTCTTCTCTTTGGCTCTTCGCACCGGCCGTTCGCGTGTTTCTTTGCGATGTTAAGAAGGAAGATGACACCGAACAAGAAGATATTCTTATTGAACGCGTCGAATAAATAATTCGGAGAATTTTATAAACTAGAGATAAAAATCAGTCTCGTTCGACGTATCCCGGTAATCGCGATACATTTTGTTATATGTAAAAAGAGTTTTACATTTTGGCAATACGAAAGATGTCACACGGTTACTTTTCGATAGCCGATCGATATGTGTTTTCGATTATTATCGCTCGGATAAAAGTGGTCGCGAGAAATATATATATATATATGTATATATATATTTCTATATTACGAAGGTACATGAAATACGAAGAAGACGAAAATCTCTTCTCTTGGTGTCGCCTTACGTCTTCTCATCGCACTATATACGAATTTTCAAATTTCGCGCAGTTCCCTTCGTACCATACGAGTATATTTCATCATTTCTTTCCTTATTTTTATTATCTTTGGCACTCACGCGTATATACGATTAGAAATTTGTATTAATCGTGTTCACGCACGCCCATTTCTAATACGTACACG